GGAGCAAGGCCATTGGGGGAGTTCTGAGCTCTAGGTCTCAGTGAAAAGGGAGAGAGGAGGAGGATCGTGCTCACATGGAGCTGTTCATGCACAAGGTGATGCTGCTCTGGGTTCTCTGTAGCAGTGTTTGGCCAGGGCAGCACAGCCACGGGGGGAAGGGCTGGGTGATCACGATTCCTGCAGGATCACGGAATGCCTTGAGGTGGAAGGGATTTCACAGAGCATCTCCTTCCCTGCCCAGCCAGCCTCCAGAGGCTCTCTGGGATCACAGAGACAGGATGAGGGATTGCCATATGCTGCATCACTCGCTCACATTTCTGTTCCCTGATGTCAATGGGGGCACGGGGACTCCTGCTGAGCTGTCTGTCTGCGTGATGATGAAGATAAACCCCCAGCTCTCCCTGGGGGAGGGTCTGCATGCATTCCCTGTGACACCAGCTGCTCTGAAAGGCCTTTCCTGAAGGCACCAGCTCTTCCCAGCAGGGAAAGGACAGGAACTCTGTGCCTCTGCAAAGCAAAAGGGGAGGATTGGCCAAGGAGGGGCTGCAGAGAGGAGGAGGGGGGGGTGGAGAGCTCACCTGCACGTGAGCATGGAGCAGGGGGGGGTTCAGTGCTCACCTGCACCTGTACTGAGCAGGGGGGGTTCAGTGCTCACCTGCACCTGAGCACCAACAGGGGAGATCCAGCGCTCACCTGCACCTGAGGGCTGAGCATGGAGGGTTCAGCGCTCACCTGCACCTGAAAGCTGAGCATGGAGGGTTCAGCGCTCACCTGTACCTGAGCATGGAGGGTTCAGCGCTCACCTGCACCTGAAGGCTGAGCGTGGAGGGTTCAGCGCTCACCTGTACCTGAGCATGGAGGGTTCAGCGCTCACCTGCACCCGAGCGAGGAGCCCTCAGCCCGGCCGCGGGGCTCCGAGCGGCGCTGCTGCCCTGGGGAGCCCCGGGCCGGTGTCGCCGCACTGTCGGGAGGCGACAGCCCACGAGGTGGCACCAGAGCCCCGCCGGCCGCCGCCCGGCGCCGGCACCGAGCGGGCACCGAGCGGGCACCTGGCACCCTCCGGGATCCCCAGGGCACATCCCGGCACCCAGCGGGCATTCCAGGCCCTGTGGGCATCCCCAGCACCCCGCAGACATCCTGGTGCCCTGCTGGCATCCTTGGCACTGCCACGCCTCCCTGTATCCTTGGGTACCTCCAGTACCTGGCAGCCCCCCCAGCACCCTGTGGGCACCTCAGAACCTGCCCCTCCAACCCTGAGCAAAGAGAGCCTGGGTGACACCCAGGGAGGAAGGGCAGGGCTTGCTTTTGAGCGATAGATAGATAGATAGATAGATAGATAGATAGATAGGGGCTATCCTGGGTATCCCAGCACCTGCTGGGCATCTTGGCACCCTCTGGGCATTTTGGCACCCTCTGGGCATTGTCACGCACCCTCTGGGCAGCAGTAGCTCAGCAGGGAGATGCTGGTGATCTAACCCATGTGCCATAAGGTGGTTAGATCACAGGCACAGCTTGGTTCCAGGGAGGATGTTCTCCTGCAGAGTAAAGGCCATCCCTTCCCAAAACAGCCTCCCCAGCAAGAATTGTCCCTACACTGGGCAGCGAGGCTGCTTGGCATGTGGCACTTTGCGTGTTTTGCTGGGTGGTGTGGACTTGCAGAGGTGCCTTCTCAGGACAGCCATCCCTCTGGCTGTCCTGAGCAGCCAGGACCCCTGCCAGGGGGCTCGGAGACCCTGGCACAGAGCCCAAAATGCCTGTGGGTTTGATTATGACTCGTGTAGCAAGTTACCAACCTTAGATGAAGATCATCAAGCCATGACAAATTAAGTAGAATGATAGTGAATTTATCACGAGGTGAAAAAGTAGATTTTGGGGTTTCTGGTATGGGGGTTCAGGGGGCAAGATGGAGAGATCTGGGCATGTCCTGCCTTTCTCCTTCTTCTCCTTGGCCTCCATCTTCTGCTGTGATGTTGGCACTCACAGATTGGTCTAGAGCAGAAGCTCACTGTCTAACATAGGTGATAGGTATTGGGAAGTAATTGTAAACATTGTACATGTAGTTTTTATTATAACACCACCCCAGAGGCAGGCAAAATGCCTCTGACTGTCTTGTTGAGCAGACCTCAGCAGGACAGGAGAAAGAATTTCACAGATAAGATACAATAAACAACCTTGAGACCGAGAACTGAAGAGCCCTGACTCCTCCTTCAAGCGCCAGGCTGGGGAAAAAAGACTTTCCAACTTTTCTTGGGGTCACTCTGACCAGCTAGAGAGATCCCAACAGTGCCTCAGTGGACATCTGGATAGTGATGTTAAACGGGAGAGGCTCATTTTGACACCCAGGCACTGTAAAATCTGCAGGCCGTCAGTGCTGTGACAGCCAAGGCCCTGGGCTGCTGTGCCCTAAAAAAAGCAATCAGTCCTCCTTCAGTGGCACTTCCTGATGGAAGCATATCAGAGCTCCAGCAGGGATCAGAGTGCAAAAACACACCCAGCTAACGAGCAAACAGCCCTGACGTGTCCCCATTACAGTCCCCCTGCCGTGAGCCCGGTCAGGGGTATAATGTGATTGTTTTCCTGGCTGTTCGTGGCTACCTGAAACCCCACCACTGCTCTTCAGCACATAATAGCCCTGAAGAGGGACAGTTTCCATCTCCACACATGATTGTGCCCATTACTGTATCTATATTTTATTAGTGGCTGTTGCAATGTACATTAAGGAGATGATGAGGAGCATCGCTGTGCTGGATAAAGCTCTGCTTTGAAACCTCGAGGAGACATGGCATCAGAGTAAATGAAGCCAAAGGGCACTTTCTGCCTTTGAGAAAGGCCTGATTCTGCTTCCACAAAGGCACAATTCTCCCTGGCTGCAGAGGGAGAGGGGTTGGAACCTTGTCCACAGCTCCAGGTGGGCTGGATGAATGTTCTGGGGGGATGTGTCACACTCTCCCCTCTAGCACAGCGATGCTCAGAGGGTGAAATCCAGAGGGTGAAATCCTCAGGGTGAAATCCAGAGGGTGAAATACAGAGGCACCCATGCTCTGGATGCTGCCTATCAGCCCTCCAGCTTGCCCACAGAGGTCAGGGCATGCGGATGCAGCTCTGTATTCCCAGGAGCACATCCCTGGAAGCAGCTGCAATCCCACAGCAGCACTGAGTGGATATTTAAACTGCCTTTCCCTGTGGGCCATGCTGCTATTTAGCCACCCAATGGTCCCTTTTAGCTCTATTCTGTTTCTTATCCCTGGGGTTGAAGCCAAAACTGCTCCAGCGAGGAATCACATTAACACTCTGCCTTTCTCATTAACAGGATGCTGTGGGGAGTGATTAAATGCTGGGCTGGAGGCTGGCCTGGGCGCAGACAGGGGATGGAGGGGTTCCCTCCCTGGTTTGGAGGCAGGACAGGGGCAGTTTGTACCTCTCCATCTCTCTGAGCATCCTGCTGCCCTGCCAGCCTCACCCAGGGTAGTGAGGAGCTGTGCAGAGCTCGCCCATCACCCACACTCTGCCTGCCCAGCCCCTTCTCAGCTGCTTCCCAGGGCTTTAGGCACATTTGCAAGATTGGAAAACCCCAATCTTGAGGACAGGCTTCCAGAATTTAGGAGGTGAGCACAGGCAGACCTTCGTCCTGGTTGCTTTTCCTAAGAGGAGAAACCTTGGAGGGTGGATTTGGATCGGCCAAAGCCAGCTGGTTGATCCAGCCAAGGCAGAGCAGGCTGGGAGGGAGAGGACGAGAGGGAAAACCCTGCTCTGCTGCTCCTGGGGTCTTTTCTGCAAGAGAACAAATCAGGCCGAGGATTTCAGGCATTTTCTCGGTATTCAAGCCAGCGCTGCACAGGCAGGAAGGTCTAGGGAGGGAAGAGGCAGGATGTGCTGTGGTAAAAGATAGCCAGTGAAGGCTATTTTGGATCCCCTTAGTCCTTTGCCTGCCAGAGCAGCAGGACCTGCTCAAAAAAACTTTTCTGTTTACAAAATCTCTGCAGACTGAGGGGAAAAATCCTTCGAGCCAACGAAGCCAAATATTCTGCTCATTTGCACACCCTAATGAGGGCTTCTAGGAGCCATGAAAAGCGAGAGCAGGCTTTGATGGCAGCTGGAGAGCAGCTCCCAGCTTCGAGCAGTGCCCAGTGCCAGGATGGAGCCCCGGCTGTGCCAGGCAGAGGGGTCTGTGAGCAGCACAGGGGAGCAGGGGGGGATGCAGGGCAGCCCCCAGCGACTGAGAACTGGGGGATGGTGCAGGGTCCCCCCATCCCTGGGGCTCAGGGACAATGCAGTGCAGCCCCTCCATCTCCGGGGACCAGGGGTTGATGCAGTGCAGGTTTCTCCATCCCTGGGGACGATGCAATGGAGCCTCCCCCCAATTGCTGGGGTTCATGGGATGGTGCAGCAGAGACCCCCATACCCGGGGATCAGAGGGTGATGCAGTGCAGCCCCCCATCCCTGGGGATGATGATGCAATCCTCCCCATCCGTGGGGATGATGCAGAGCAGCCCCACACCCCTGGGAGTCAGAGAACGATGCTGTGCAGCCCCCCATCCCTGGGGATGATGATGCAATCCCTCACATCCTTGAGGATGATGCAGAGCAGCCCCACACCCCTGGGGGTCAGAGGAGGATGCAGCCCCCCATACCGGGGGATGATGATGCAGTGCCCCCCAATCCTCAGGGATGACGCAGAGCAGCCCCACACGCCGGGGGGTCAGAGGAGGGTGCAGCCCCCCCATCCCTGGGGGCGATGATGCAATCTCCCGTTCCCGGCGATCAGCAGACGGTGCCGCCCCCCCGCCCCGGGGCCGGTAACGCAGCGCAGCCCCCCTGGCCCCGCCCCTGCCCCGCCCCTGCCCCGCCCCTGCCCCGGTCCCGCCCCCGGTCCCTCCCCGCCCTCTGTGGGCGTGGCCTGTGCTCGCTATGGGCGTGTCCTCCCCTGGCCCCGCCCCTGGGCCGTTACTTGCCGCCCCTCCCCTGCCCTCCCCCTCCTGCCGGCCGCGCGCTCCCGCTCACCGGCGCCATGGCGGAACAGCCCGAGGAGGGGGCCCCGGCGCCGCCGGCACCGGCACCCCCGGCTCCCCCCGCCGCGCTGCCCCTCTCCGCCCCGCCGGGCGGCTCCCAGCGCCTCCTGTTCTCCCACGACCTGGTGTCGGGCCGCTACCGCGGCTCCGTGCGCTTCGGCCTGGTGCGCCTCATCCACGGCGAGGACTCGGAGGAGGACTCTGAGGAAGGCGGGCGCGGGGCCGCGGCCGGCGGCGCCGCCAGCTCGGGCGGCTCCGAGTCGGGAGGCCCCGGGGCCGGCGGGGAGGAGGGCCGCGCCAGCCCGCTGCGGCGGGGCTACGTGCGGGTGCAGTGGTACCCGGAGGGCATCAAGCAGCACGTCAAGGAGACCAAGGTAACCGGGGCGGGAGGCGGCCTGCACGGGCACGGGGCCCTCCCCGGGGGGCTGCCGCCGGTTGCACCGGGGCGCCGCCTTGGAGGCCTCCCGGGGCAGGGCCTGCACGGCCTGCGGGGCTGCGGGCTCGGGACGTTGGAGGCTCCCGAGGCGGAGGTTGCTGCCCCGTTTCCCCCGTGACGGCCGCCCGTGCGGCGAGCAGCCGGGGCGGGGAAGGGGCCGGTGTTCGGTGTTCTCCGGGGTGTGAAATCCCGTTCCTTCCCTTCTGCACGCTCCCTTGGCAGCCCAGCATGGATGCTGCCGCTGCCTTGCGCTGATGGCAGAGCACGGCTGCTCTGTGAGGCGCTGGGGCTCGCTGATATAAGAAGCGGGCCTGTGAAGGTGATTTGAGCGAACTTGCAGTCAGCTCTCACTTCTGGAGTTGTAGGCCAGTGTCTCAGCCTTTATTGAGCAGTGTCGTCACCGCCTGTTCTAGGGGAGTCAGCAGCTGAGCAGGGAAACCACCCCTGGATAAAGATTCCAGCAGGAAGCAAACACGGTTTGGATCTGCCCTTGTTTACGTGAGCATTTACCCCTTGCTAATGAGCTGCACGTAAATCTGTGGCATCTTAATTATATCTGCCGAGCCACAAGGTGTAGGTCGGCCTTGGACTATTATCCCCACTTGCCAAAGTTGATGTGGCCTGGGGTTTCAGCCCAGGCTGACTGACAGTTCCGAGACAAAAGCGGGCGAGGGGGGCACTGTGATGGAGCACAAAGGGGCTGCCAGGGATGGGCGTTGCACTGAGCAGAACGAGTGCCTGCACTGTCCCTGCAGGCTCCCCCTGCTCCTCTGGGCTGGCACTGGGAAGCAGGAGGCTTCTGGAGAGCCGTCTGCTTTGCTGGCCCAGAAACAGCCCCACACCTGCAGGAGAGAGGCGAGACTGGGAGGAAGAAAGGTGTGTTGCAGTCTTAAAGGCATCGCTAGGATTGCCAGTGCTCCAGAATGAGCTAAATTTAGGTGGTAGTGTCATTAGACACGTGACTGCTTGGAGATAAGGAAAACGAAAACAGGTATTCTGAAAAGATACTGCCATGTTATGTGTTTCTACCTTAAAAAGAAACCCACCTCTTTTCTCTAGAAAAACTCCATAATTCAATCACTGCAACCTTCCAGTAAAATCTTCATGTGTTGTTGCAGCAAAAATTTGTCCCAAGTTGAGTTTGGTTTTCAGCATCTAAACAAAACCACTTCCATTTGGGTGAGTAAACACGGATTTAGTTGGTGCTGTTGGGCTCCTAAATCCAGAAGTGTTAGCTCTGACTTCAGTCACTTGATAGCTGCACCCATTGCAGTGTTAGAAAAAGCTGGGCTGAGGAGGATCAGAAATCAAAGACACTTATGTAAATAAACAGTCTGTCTGTTTTCCCTTTTAGTGCTCCTGCTCTGGTGTAGGTGCCTTTACCACTCGGGTAATGGACCCTGGGGAGAAGTTTCCTGAGTGCTAGAGAAATTTAGGTGTACTTGTATTGATTTTTTTTTTCTTTTTTCTGGAAAGCTGCCCACTAACCAAATGGAGAGGCATTGTGTACAGTCTGCACTGCAGTTTGGGGTTGCTGAAAACGAACCTGACGCCACTGGAAACATGCAGTGGGACTGATCATGGTTTTGTGGTTATAATTGGGTTTTTTTAGCTGTCTGCTAACCCAGCCTCTTTTGGGTTCCACTGATGTGTGAGAACCAGCCAGGTAAGCCTGACAAGCTTGTCATTGTCCCTGCTGGCACAAACCACAGGCATTTTAAGGTTATCCTGGCTCTAAGGTTTGTTGGCTTTTTGGTGCTGTTGCCTGCTGGTACATCTTTGGCTGTGCCTGCCTCTAGCATCTTTGGCTGTGAGAGTCTTGTTTGATGTCCCTAAAACATTAACCTGTCCTGGTGACAGCTCAACCCTGGGCTCCAGAGGATGCTTGTTGCACTCTTTTATTTCCCTTAAATCTGAAAAGGGCAGAGGATAAAGGTGCTCTTGGGGCCAGGGCTTTTGTGCCTATTTAGTGAATCAGATCCTGATTCCACACAGAAGGCTGTCTGTCTGTCTGCCTCCTGTTTGTCAGGTGCTTCAGGATCTGGGAATTCTGGTGTGTGTATTGGATAGAGTGAGTGTTGTAACCAAGGGAGAATTAAAGCTGTTGGAAATTTTGAGTCCAGTGAAACAGCACCTTTGACTTCCAGTGCAAAGGTCAAAAAGCAATGCAAAGGTCAAAAGCACCTAATTAATAATCCTTGAGCTTTCCTGTATTTTCTTGGACCGTTTGGGGTTTTTTCTTGGACAGTAATTTTTGCTGTTGCTTCTGGAAGTCCAACACTTGCTGTTGCTCTTTCAAGTGGCAGAAGATCTTTTAAGTGGCAGAATGCACACAATTACTGATATTAGTCAGTAATAGAAATTTTCTCTTGAGATAGAGCTTAGCAGTTGGTGAAAAGCCCCACCAGCTCCTCCAAGAATTGTGCAGGTGAGCACATTCCTGCCTTTGGTTCCCCTTTTGATAGTCATTAGCAGCATAACAATGATGAGAATAAAAAGAGCCAGGATTTCTCTCTCTGGCTTCAAGTGTTCCTTTCCTGCTCTCCATGGCCATATCACCTATTTAAGACACTGGGAAATCACTGTTGCTGAGTGTTGTAAAACCTAAGCAGACCTGGAAGGAGAAAGCTTCCCTTTGCAAATATATTTGCCATCCATGTCTTGTCTGACCCAACAAATCTGCAGAGCAGTTCCTCTGGGTCATTAAAGCCATATCTCTGGAGGTAATTTGGAAAGCAGGTTTGGAAGTACTGAATTGCTGTGAGCACCTGATGCTTTTTTAAATAAATTATCAGGAGTTCTTGGGACCCAGCTGAATTTTAATTTCAGGATCTCTCTGCTGTAATTCAGCATTCCTGCTGCACACTTGAGCTGCCTTTGGGAACTTTATGGGAATGCTTGAACATACTAGGTGTTAGTCAGGTTCTGGGGATTTAAAATGGTGCTGCCCTTCCTCCTGCCTCTCCCCTGAAAGCCTCAGAGCTCTCTGTGACCTTTCATTTTCATAAAGCCTGGGCAAGGCAGATCAGCCTCTTGTGCAGCTGGGGGAAATGGAAAGTGCAGGTGTTGTGTTTCAGCACCTTATCTGAAGGCCTTCAGGCAGCCAGGCCTCCCGAGCTCCCTGTGCCTCCCTCTGGGAGTGAGGGCTTGGTGTGATGCTGGGATACCCTGGCAGTGCTGGGTGATGTGCAGGGACCATTGCAGGACCCCAGGTTTGCTCTAAGAGTCCAGGTGCAATTTTAAAAAAGTTTTTCGCAGCCTTTTTTCTAAAGTCCAGATTATGATTTAGTTTGGATGACTCTCTTCCCTCATTCAGCTTTGCTTTGGAAACAGATTCAAACTCCTCAGACATAAGGTGGTGGCTGATAAACTCATTATCTGGAAATTACCTGATGTTATCTCCAAAAGGCTCTCCATGAATTCAGCTCTGCTTCATCCCACAAAGACCTTCTGTTCTTTTCTACCCTTTGCTCCTGGAATTTCCTGACCTCAGATAATGGGTCATGGATCTGATACAAGGTCACAGGAGGAGTTTCTGAAGATCCTCCAGGTCTGTGTTTTTCCCTCTGTCCATTCAGAGCCACTCTGAGCCCTCACTGCTGGGGCTTGTGCCCCAGCGTGTGCCCTTCAGATGTTAATCCTGGCTAGTGACTCTGCAACTTATTTACAACTGAGGCATGAAAGCAGCCTTAAAAATCTTCAATCTTCAAACCTGCTGAGGTGTCAGCCATCTGGAGGTGCAGTGGTGCAGTGTGGGTACATTGAAGGGGGAGAGCAGGATCCTTTTTGGGGCTGTGAGGAAATGCTGGCCATAAAGCCAAGCTCTGGTTTTGTTGCAGCACACAAATCCCATGCCCATAAACTATTAACAGAGGGTTTTACTGCGTGAGGAAGCTGTATCTAACCCTCTTCTTGCATCTGACATTTCAGTTACTCTCCCAGGGGGGTTCTTTGAAACCACCTGATGTTTGTAGCTGTTAGAGACAGAAGAGAAAAGCCTTACTGGAATTTTTGCAGTTCTGCATAATATAGAACCAATTAATGTGTGACCTTTCCATCCTGTGGGTATCCATTGCAAGGTTAGGTACCCTTGGGTCAGTTCCCCATTTTACTTTGATTTGTTTGGCTCTTGTGATCTAGACTTGGGGATCATCATTAATATTTTACTGCAAAAGTGGAATCCGGCACAATTCACAGCGTGGAAGTCTCAGGAGTACTAAATATTGTACATTGTTACTGCTCTGTGTACTGTGTGCAGAGTGAATTGGTAATTCAGGAGTTGAAAGTGGCCATCTGGGCTAAGCCATTTATTATAATTATTCCAAATGTAGACAGGAGTGTTATTTTTAAAATGAGTGAAGCCTGTCCTCAAGCAAGCAGTGTTGGTGATGTGCTCTCTTCCAAGGTGTGCTCCCTTTCAGTGTGCTGCTGTGCTTAAAAAAACCCCAAACTAAATTAGTAATGCTTTTAGGACTAGTAAACAAACTAATGTGCACTAAAAGCTTTAGAAGGAATCAATCGATGCCTGTGACAGGCTCTGAAATACCTGTGTGGGTGAGACATTCTGCTGCAGCTTTCTCATACACATTTATTTGCTGATGTGATGCAGCTCTAGTGCAGACTTTGGCAAAAAAAAAGAGGCTTTAGGCAATTTTTATAAAGTTTCTTTTTTGGCCGAAGATTCTTTATTGAAGTTAAATAGCAGCAGCTTTGACAAATGGTTTTTGGGACAAGGTCTTGCTTGCCTATGGCAGCTGTCCTTAGCTCCTCTCCTCTCTTCAGAGGAAAGGCATTATTTTTAATGTTCAACATCTGTGTTGGTGTGGGAAATAATTGGTGTTTGGAAAGCTAAAAGCCTCTCCTCCTTTGACTGTTTAATTGCTTGGGGGATTTCAAAGGCTCAGAAGGTGATGACACCTTCAAATGCTACTTAGGAAA